TTCATTATTGAAATTTACATATCATGTTCAAAATAGCTTGTTGTTTGTTAAATTTCCTTAATAAAAATATGTTTGGTAATTGCATTCAATGATTGTTTATTTGGCTTTTACGAAACGTGAGAACTAAAAGAAACCACATTTTAAGTTATTGTGGTACCGCTCTATGCGTCTTATATGCCGCCAAATACAGTAAGTATGCTGTATTGCTTTTTCCATTGGTTGAATCAGCAATTCTTAAAAATTATTTTAAAGATCTGGCAGAGATATCAGGGTACTAAAAGGGTTTTGAATAAAAATTCTCACAACTGTACATGTGAGTTATTGAGAAATTTTTAAAAACAGAAGTCGAAGAAGTCAAAGAGGTTAAAGTAAGAAATACTCCTATTGAAGGTAATGAACATAAATCTAATGTACAGTTTATGTGCAAAAGAAAAATACTGAATAGTTTACAAAGTGTGTACCTAAGTATAATGCAAACAAAAAAATACTTTTTTTTTTTTTTTGGTGATATATTGACACAATTTTCTATAAAAAAGAAATGCAGGTAGTTACTAAGAAAAACGGTGCCTATTTCTACTGTAATAAAAACATCTTATTTTCAAGTGGAATGTTTTTATGAAGTGTGCTGTATGCTAAGGAAAACTTTATTTAATATTATGTCAGATGTTAAAAAAATGCTTTGAAGGACAACACGTGCAAGTCTGACAAAATTTACTTATTAATATAGGTAATGGAAATGTTAGAAAGGATAGTCTATGATTCTAAATCACAAAAAAGTAGTTATGTTACCAAAAATTGCACAACAGAATTAAAGCTGAAACCTAAGGATGCAGCATACACTTATCAAGAATTATTTTGATGTAACAAGACTTATAAGCTCTTACTGACAAGTTTGGTATATCTCTTTAATGCAAAGCAATGTGCTTTATCAAGATTGTATTTGTAGTTATGTTCCTAAAACTAGTGATGTGGCTCTGTGTGCAAGTTTGAAAGAAAAAAAGAATATTTTAAACCGATTTTCCAACACATCCGATGATATTGCTGATATTCACTTATTAGGGGCTCATGTATGGACTCAAATTACTACATTCATTTTTTTTTTTCCCATGATTAATAAAAAGTTAGTGGCCAGAAAAGCTAAATTTGGGCAGTCATTACTCGGCACATCAGGAAGTGATAGAAACATGTCCTTGAATTTTAGATGCATTATTTTCTTTTCATCTTATCATCATATTTCCAAGTTCTGGGAGTTAGAAAGCCTATGAATCAAAAAAATCCCCGAAAACATTGCAGCAAAAAAAAAAAAAAAAAAAAAAAAAAAAAAAACTGAAATGCTTCAGATTTTAAATTAGGTCCAAAGGGGCGTTTTTTAACGTTTTGTGCATTACCTTTATTTATTAAATATCATGTTCTTTGCACTTAAACTATAAAATTTAGTTCAATAGCAATGTCGCAAAATAATTTTAAAATGAGCATATCTTTAGAATTTCCAATACACAGTTCAATGCACTGGAGATAAAAAGGTTCCTCCATAGAGTGTTATAATTCCTCGCTTTTGAATCATTGAGATTGTTACTCAAAAATTCGTTAAAATTTTACAAAATATGAAATCGATAACAAAACACATTTCAAATTTGGGATTTCAGATGCCCATATTCGCAATAGGATTACATCATTCAAAATTGGATGGCTCTAGATACTGCTGTTTTATCACAATGCGAGAAATATACATACACTTATGCAGACTTTTCATTATTTAATTTCTTCAAATATAATGCAGGACTCTAACAATTTTGTGGCAACAGTTTGAAAAGTGAATCGACATTTATATGAATTCGATGCAAAATGCCAAAATGAAAGTAATAGTCCTTCGGGACTCAAATCCCTTTGGACTAAAAAAGAGATCGTGAAGTTTGCAATTTCTCTGAATAAAATGTAAAAAGAGAAAATATATGGAGATATATTGTAAAATTACCCTTAATGAAAGTTACTCACTCCTACAAAATAACATGGAAGTAACAGAAAGGCAACATACAGAAACTAAACCCACTTGGCCTAAAAACTAAATCCACTTGGTGAACATAGTCCATATGTACCAATCAACTTAGTAAATATAGACTATTTTTTAGTCATGCATGACTGGCACGAAAGAGGTATGAGTGAAGGAATTGAAGATGGAAAGCAAACTTTAGAAGCATTTTATTTACCTCACTGACTAATACTAAGCACAACACCAGTAAGATGGGTATTTGATGCATCAGCTACAGATAAAAATGGATATTTTTAAAATGAATTCTTAGAAAAAGGTCGTAACTTAACTGAAGAACTACAACTCATTCTCTTCATTAAGCAATATCACACTGGGTTATCCCCTGACATTCATGAAGTTGATCATGAAACATTCAGATTTTTGTGCTGGGAAAATGATCAAATACCATCATTCTGCCATTGTAAGTTTCGTCTTTGGAGTATCATTTGGCCCTTTTTATTGTTTGCTTGCATAAACTATCTATTGAAGAATACTCTTGATCATCTTGTAAAGACAGCTGAAAGATTGCTTGGATCCTTTTATGTTGACACTGTTTGCTAAGTATGCAGGATGTGAACAAAAGGGGAACATTCAATCTCCGAGGCAACAGAACTGATGTCTTCAACTGGATTTAATCTTACAGGATGAGTTAATAAATTTCACATAAAATTGTAGAAAATGTTTCAGAACTTAGGTGGTATTATTCAACATATGTACTAAGATAGTATTGTTCAACAGATATACTAGGTGGTACTGTTTAACAGATGTACTACAAATCTTGAGGATCTGTTGCCAAGAGGTTGTCTTCCTCAACAACTCTTAAAATCGTAATTGTAGGAAGGTTTAGAATGGTTGTAGCATGTTCCTCAGAATCAGCTTCATAATATTCCTGAATCAAAGAAAGGGCAACAGAAAGACTAATCTTCGTACAAAAAACAATAAAACAGAAATGATAATAACTTATTTGGCTAACAACAGTTATGCTGAAATTGTAAGAATAGTACAGATTAAAAGGAAAAACACCAAATGTTTCAAGACCTCCTTATATATTACTGCAAAATTTTCTAGCATCAAAAACGTAATTTTCTGATGCATTCGGAAGAGTTTTTTTTTGGGGGGATAAGCAAGAATATTTTGAAGACTTCTCAGGACTATCAAAATAATCAAGGAATTCTTTTAATGAAGTCATAAGCAGTGAATGAAATAATACTTTATAATACTTACCTAGCTGTTTTTTTCACTTAAACATATTTTAGTGGATAGAATGGTAGAACACAGCCACTTTTTTCCAGTTTTGGGGGAAAGGTTTTGATTTTGATATGGGGGGGGGAATATTTAAGTTGAATTTTAGAAAGATCCCATAAAAACACAGATTCTATATATGCAGGAGAGTAGTATGATCAAAAGAAACCAAAAATTTATGAGCATTTGATTTTCATTAATCTTTGTAAAACTTTCACTTTACAAAGGTGGGAGGATGTTTAAAATACTATTTTTGAGCCTTTACTTACAAGTATAGAAACTGTAAAAACTGATTTGTAATTATATTACCTATTCTGTTTTTGGATCACCACTGACCATTTTTAGATTATTTTTCTGAACCACTTTTTTAATTAAAAACAAATGTTTATCTGTTTCTTGTGCAATTTGAGGCTTGATTTTAAGCAAGCAGTAAGAGTTTTGCTGCGATGAAAAATCTTTTTATCGACATCGAGATATCTCTTAAAATTCCAAACAAACCCAATTACAGGAAATATTTTATACTTAGAAATTTAAAAATAAAAAAAATTACAAACCCCATGTAAATATTATATGACCTCTCATTTTATGACACAAAAATTTATAAACTGCCCAGGAAGGAAAAAAATATACATTGTGTCCACAAAAGTACTTAACTGGGCTTTATTTTTGCAACCGTTGGTCACAGACATTAATTAGTAAAACACTTCAATTACAGAAATGCTTTAAATGATGCAAATATTCATGTCATATATCTGAATTTTAAGAATCAACTTAAATTATGAAAACTAACGGTTTATAACCCCCCGGCGCAAGTCCTATACTTAAGAAAATGTTATATACATAAAAAAAAATAATAAAATACAAAACTTTTATGCCTATAAAACAAAATTGATGAAAAATATTTAAATTCAAAATTCGCAATTTTTATGTTGTTTTCAATTTGGATTAAAGGGTCGCTTTAACAAATAAATTAGAATAATGCAGGATTGATTTTTTTCTGTTAAATTATATATTCCTTTACAATTTACTAGTATTATCAATTTATAACTTTGTTACATTTGGTATGCTTAAAGAACTTATCACACAAGTCATTTATCAAAGTCTAAAAATGCATTATTAATATTCTCATGAAGTTTTACTACTTAAAAATTATAATCGTGTAATCACAGCCTCTCATTAGCCTACAAATATTTCTCAATTTTTATAACAGAAATAGAATTGGTATTTTATTTTTAGCTGAGTAAATATGCAAACACTTTTCTCAGTCTACGGCCCCTGAATATCATCGACCTTTAAAATCAAATAAATTGGAGAATTTTTCATGTTTGGGAATACACACTTTTTATGTTTTACTTTTTATTACTAGTATAAAATTTTCATAAATATAAGTTAACGCAAATATATTTAAATTATGTAATTTCATAAATACAAATATATTCATAATTTCATAAATATAAGTTAATGCATAAGTATTTAAATTTTGTAATTTCTACAAAGCTGAGTTCTCTAAATTTAAATGTAACTGGAAGGATATGTCTATGAGTAACAATTGTGAAAATAAAGGTCAGATAAGGACTTCTGTAGACAAAGCTTATGTCCCATTAATGATCAGAAGTAAATGGATGCAATGAAACCTGCACTTTTGCCTACTGCTGAAATATTTGTATACCTAGTGTATTTAACAAGTAACAAAACCTTTTTTTTTAATAAAACTAAGATTAAATCTAACCTGTCTAATTTGTCTTGAATGCGAGCCCTCAGCATTTCATACATCTGTTCTTGCTGTTTCAATTTCCCTTGCATTTCAGCTACTTGTTGCTTCATTTTTTCTTCATTCTTAAGGAAAAACATAAAACAAACTTTGCGCATTAAAATACATTATGCAAATATAAAGGTAAAATGTAACCAAAAAAGAAAAATTTGTCATAAAAAGATTAGTATAAGTACAAATAATTAATTCTTTAAGTTATTAATGACAGTTTTACTCTCATTTTATTAGTACTATAAGTAATTTATTCTGCATTGAATCTTATCAAGAAGCATTTTAAACAAAATGTTGAAAAATGTAAATTGTAGCAGTAGATAGCATATCATACTTTATATATCATTTAACATTAAAATTTTCTCCATTATTACAAGATAATAAATTGCAGCATAAAATATAACTGAATTCCCATTCAAAGATTAAAAGCAGATACCCAATAAATTTTTGAGTATTACAAAGAAAAAATAATTGCTGGATTGTTATAATAATTTAAAAGCAAACTGCTAACAAATGATCAAGCTAGTACCACAAACTATGATCAAGTATATTAAAAATAATTTGCGTTAAAATTAATTTTTGACTGCCCAATGTTTGGATTACTATAAAAAAAAACTATCCCAAGTATGAAACTGCTCTTACAACAGCAAGACCATAGACATTTTTAATGAGAGACTGGTGAAAATAAAATTTATAAAATTTTTAATAAACAGTTTTCATCTAAAATTAAAAATTTGTGCCACAAACTTTTCTCTGGGTACTTAAGTCAGGCATGAATGAACAAAAAATTCTGTTTCTCAAGCTGAATTCTGCATTCCAAACAGGTTACATAATTGAAGTAAGCTCTACTACTGATTTAGGTGAGCGGTAGTCTGTGAACGCTAGTAGTTCAAACTGGGTTTCATTCTACATAAAAGAGCTGGCTGCATGGTTCATTTTCATGGTTTTTCCCATGTGTAATGTGGACACGAACCAGTTGCCCTTAGAAAGTCCTCCACAAAGACCTCCCTCCTCTGAGGCAGATAAACCTTAGTGTGCTCTACCATAATCAAATACAAAACTATTACCTATTAATGCTAACCAAACAGCTTTTCTAACTAGCATAGACATACACATGGTGGCACATGGTTCATACAGAACATATCATGATTTTACAATACTAGAAGATTTTAAGGCAAGAAACACCCTTCTTAATACAACTGGATTCTATCAATTTGCAAGTAATGTTTTACCCATGGTGGAACCATTTTCCTAAAAAAGCAACTTTCATTATATCACTACTCCATAAGAGTTACAATTTCAATTAGTAAGCTGCACCAAAGTGACTTATGCCAGTAAATTCACTGTTGAGCATTTACATAAAATTTGCACATAAAGGCATGGTAACCTTAAGTTATTAAAACATAACTAATATAAGATATTTTGCTCTTATGGAATCATGTAAAAATTACACTTATATACGACTTTCACTGACAGTGTTAAAACTTCCTAAAAATGTCTCAACTTTATTCCAATAAACTTTATGGCCTGTAATAATTTTCTAAGATCAACTGTTATGGAAATAAAAGATGCACTTTTTTGATAATTCTGTTATAAGGAATAATTTTTACAGTAAATACCTGTTTATATCCCTCTAAAACAGACTTGCAATTCTCATATCGCCTGTGTAAGTCAGCAAAAGCTGATTCAACATTTTGCAGATCTTCCAGAGCCTGAAAGCATAAAATGTAAATTTCATATGCAAAAGTTTTAAGTTTATGAGATATAAACTAAAGAAAAAACTTTAATTACCTGATCCCGTTCTTTCATCACTTTCTGATTATTGCTAGTCATTTCAACACGCTCTTGTTCTTTAGCACTCAACCATAATGTGAAAATATTTAGCAGTTCTTCCAAAACAACCCTAGAGATTAAACGCATTCAAAAAATCTTTCCTATTTTTTTTTTTTTTTTTTTTTTTTTTTTTTTTTTTTTTTTTTTTTTTTATTCTCAGTGCATGAAATTATAGAAACATCATGTAATTTCCCTACATATGAATTTATTTATCACTGTTTAAAATTTACAGTAAAAATAAGTTCTCTAAAGTCAAATCCTGATTTAATGATTTTCTTCCATTTTTAAAATACTAAGTGAAGAAAAATATTTCAATTTAATGAATATTTTACGTCAGTTTAATAAACTGTCAAAGTTTTCCTTTTTGCATTTTGTAAAGACTTTTTCTTGAGAGTTAGCAAATTTAGCTTTTGTATACGTTCTGTTCAAATATTACACATTGAAATTTTCCCACTTTAAATACTGGAGTAAAAATATTCGGCTAATCTTTGGAATATGGTAACAGAGAGTTTGGCGTCATTTTGGTAAGGCGATAAAGGTTACTAGGTAGGACTTTAGCAATAATCTGAGAAGTACACAGTTCGAATCACAGATTATTTTGTCTCAGAGAAATGAGAGATCATAAGACATGTCATGTGACATTTTCCGGAAAATTCCAATTGTGATTTCAGATAATAAGCACTTAGAAACAATTTCGCTGCTAAAGTGCAGAATCACCCACTTATTTTTGTTTGGCGCTTTTTACAAGAGTAAGAAGAATTGGATTTTTGTCAATTTTCTTTTTAAGTGAAAAATAGGTTGATGTGTAAATGGATAAAGTACAGTGCATGCAATGCCATTTTTCTGCAATTCTGGGATGTTTTTTTAAGTGAAAATAGGTCGACGTGTACATGGACACCGCGTATGAGCAATTCTTAAAAGCGCGGGAAGCAGTGGGCAATTCTGCACTTTCTCCCAACTTTGCACCTAATCTTCGTCATGATTAAGCACTTTTGTTCCATAAAAGTTCTACCATAAGTGTAATTCGGCTAGCAGATTGTTGGAAAAAATGTTGTGTTAAAAAAAAATGCCTTTACTTCGTGAAAATAAAATGGCGTCCAAAAAAACTAGCAGGTTGCTGTAGCAGGGTTGGTCGCCAAATTTTCGCCAAAAAATCGCCAAGTTAGCATAATCCAAAGATTCACCAAATATTCCTTTCTATCACTAAATGAAATGTTCAAACTTTCCTCGAACCAGAGGCTAGGACTTCCCATAGAACTACAACATCTAGGTAAGAAATAACTCAATTATTCAAAAGCATCTAAAAAGATATTAGTTATATTAATATTGAATCATTTTGAAGCAAAACCTCTAATTACATCTTAATATGCTATCACAGGCAAAGAGATTATTGAAGGTTGGAATTAAGACCTACAAATTTTTACTTATGTGCCTATGTTCCCTCAGCAACATCAGACACAATGTGTTGATAATAGAGCATGTAGAAGATATTACAGCAAAAAGAAGATAAAAAAATCATGCCTGCAGATGCTTTTTTGGATTAAAGATGGCCGAAAGCTTCATGCTTATATGAAATAAAAGATGAAGCATTTAATACTTTCAAGAAATTGGCAAAAAAAAAAAAAAAAAAAAAAAAAAAAAAAAAAAAAACTTTGAAACAAACCCAAGCTTTACTGTTACACTGTTTTACTTAGCAATAATTTACTACATTGCAGCAGACCACGCAAAGCTAAGAAACTTACGTGTGCATTCCCATCAAATGTTGCAGTCTTCGAGCTGTTACAAATGTTGCAGTCTTCGAGACGACATGCTCTGATACTGCAGTAGCAATAACATTTTCAGCAATGACTCCACTTGACATTACAAGTCATAATTTTATGGCCAGTATCAGAGGATTTTAGAGATCTGTCATGAAGGCCTCTCAATTCAGGGGACAAACTAACCAATGATTGATTCTATAGCTCCTCTGATACCACCTTCAAATAAATCAGAGGATATAAAATACAACCAAAAAAAAAAATAATAAAAGGGTGTGACTAATTCAATCTGCAAGGGGTTCCAGACAAAGCAAGTACTCAGAACATTCTAAGACTCTTGACTTAGACACCCTTGCTGCTAGCACGGCTTCTATGCATTCAATACTGTCATTATTCCATTGTTAACAGAGCTTTGCATAGATTTATAATAAATGTTTTTAGTTCAATAGCAGTTTGCATGCAACCAAAACAAAAGCCAAACCAGCCAGCTACCTGTACTGTTGTGTAGTCTACCAATAGCATTCCAGCTCTCCAACATAAAATAAGATTTTGAAAATTACATCATATTTTGTATGAAAACAGCTTTCATAAACCAGACATTATTTCTAAAGCAAGCACATAAGTTTTGTGTTTCATTATGTTGTTTAATGCCTTATAATTAAACAAGTACATGTACATACTCTATGAACAAATGTTATCAGACTGGAATGATGCATTAAATCAGGATTTCATTGTTATTAATTTCCTTTATAGCACACATTACCTTGATGCTCTATAACCTTTACTAAGAGCTACAAGCTGGTTCTTCAAAATCTGCTTATCTCTCTCTAAAAGTTTCATTTGGTCACAACGTTCTCTATCTCTCTTTAGTTGCTTTTCATGAAATAGGAGCTCTTGCATCTTTAAAGCTTGACTGAATTCTTCTTCTGTAAATAATTTGTGTTCCTGAAATCAGCAAATGTTGAAAAATCACACATTATTACATATTTTCTGACATTTTGGCTTTTTAAAATTGGCATGTTTTTAAGAAAAACTGAAAAAGCAAGATCTAACAAAAACTGATCCATACCTAAGCTAAAGGTCTAAACTAACATCTCGGAATGTGAAGCTAATGTTTATCTAAATAAAGCCTTCACATTCTAGCCTCTCAGAAGTAAAATAAAGAAGAAATAGCAAAGACCTTTACAACTTGATCATAAAATCAAACAAAAACAGAAAAAAGTCATTATATTCTTTATTTAAGAAATAACTTTAAAGGAACCTCGAGGGCTTTTTTGCCCTCAAGACTCCTGGCAGTCACTGGATCTGCAACTAAGAAATCAAAAATACTTTATGTGCTAAAATACTGAAAATAAGTTATGTGATTCCTGTAAGCTTGCAACTTGGACATCCAAAACCAGTTATGTGCTTGGATGGACGATAATGAAATTACAGACTCAGGAATGAAAAATAGTTTAACTTCATCACCCAAAAACAAAATATTGGTAGAATATAGTGTTATGAGATAAAGTACATGCACAGCACTTGGAGCAGAACTAAACTTAGCATTATGCTCAATGAATATTCCACACACACACCAAAACAAAACAAAACAAAATTACAACAAATTGACAGTGATTACAAATCAAAACTGACTAAAAAATTAGGAAATATTTACAATGGTTTAGAAAGGGCAGCAAGAAAAAGGGTACAAGAAAAACAAGTTGCCAACCTCTCAAAAAGTGTTCCATAAGTGCACTAATCTGAATAAAACATCATTTGTGATCTCTTCACATTCTATGAAGATTCAAACAATTTGTTACCAAATTGTTACCTCAATCTCTGAGAATAATGCTGGTTATCAATGTAACAGACAGAAAAATAATAAAGGAATGTCAAAAAGGCAATACAGAGCAGCAGAAAAAATGACTGAAACTACTAGGAAATAAACTAAAATCAGCTGTAGTTGGAGACTATTTTGTTAAATATTCAAAATGTACACTTTGGCCATTTCTGAATTAATTCCAACTTATTGGAAAAATTTTTAAGGTGAAAGTAATGTTGGTAAATATTTCACACCTCAAGAATAATCCCAATTAATTTAGAATTAAATTGGCAGAAATAAAAGTAAAACAAAAAGAATAGAATGTGGTATTATTAAGACATGATTTGCTAGATGCAACTTCTAGATTGTTAATGCACAAATCATTGAAGGCATCCTGGATATATATATATATATACGTGTGTGTATGTGTGTGTGTGTATATATATCTGTTCATGAAGCTCTAGGAAGCGAATCAAAGTTAAAAGGCCAACTGCAAATACTCAGTACCACAAATTCACTGTCAAACAAATCAGTTGTGTTCAAAGCATCATACGAATTCACTATCAGAAAATAAATGAAGCAGTTAACAACTACAGATTACTGATGACTGAAAAAACTATATTCAAAGTCTAAAACAGTGTGATTTGGTTTACTATCAACTGTCTACCAGTGTATCATACAATAACAATTACTGCATAATTACTATTTAATAATAATGCTTTAAACAAAGTTGACTGTTGTGCAGTTTTTCAGGAACATTGTTTCTTACATAAGAACTGATAATTAATTCATAACTTCAAAAATCTTTCAAATACAAATAATTCAAACGGACACCATGTTTGGCTGCTTAAGCATTTTATTAAGCACATTTCCTAATTAGCCTAACGGTATATCAACTCATTAAAATAAGCCTAAAAATACCAGGTTGAAAAGGAAATGCTTAACAATTTTCTAACCAACTAGATTTCTCAGTTACCTTATGATATATATACACTAGTGTCCATAAAAGTGTTTCGCAGCTGGTATAATGGTTAGTGATGCTGACTTGTACCAATGATTTAGCGTTCAAATCCCAGAAATGACCTGGATGTTTGTTGGTGTACAGTATCTGTGCAGTAAAGGGGCGCCCAAAATTCGCAGTTGGATAAAAGTTCTTTCAAAAGGGTGATGGTAGGAGAAGACAGGTGGAAGACCTTTGTACTGGCTCCCGAGGTCTTATCAAAATTTGGGCTGAATTCCAGTTACTGTGGCACAGCTATACCTCTCTACAACCAATGGTGAAATGAAATGAATGAATCTGGTATTCTGCACACTTCAACCAGTGCCTATCCATAAAAGTACTTATGTAGTCTACTTTTACATACATATACTTTCAATTACAAAAATGCTTTAAATAATGCAAATATTTATGATTGGGCATTTTAAATTTAAGAAATCAATTTAGCAAAAATTATAAAATCTAACCTTTAACTACAGACCAAAAAATAAAAAATAAAATGCTTGACTAATAAGCAAAAAAATATATTTAATTTAGAACGATACAAGATGTTTAATTTAGAAATTTGGTATTTTTTTATGCTTGCCTTGAGTAGTCAGTTAAAAAATAAAATAATGTGAAGTTAATTTTCCCCATTTAATGTCACTCAGAAATATTCTTTTGTGATTTACTAGCATGTAACATTTTTTAATTTAAAATTTTGCTGCATATGTTATGCCAAAAGCATTTTCACGCAGGTAATTTATGTTTTCAAATGCTAACGAAAGGTTACCAATATCCTCATTGTTTTATTACTTTAGAATCACACAAAAAAATCAACAAACTAGAATTTTTTTAATGTTAAATTTTTAAAAATAATGTTATGAGTTAATTAGGTTCCATTATTGAAATCTGCCACTGTTTTTTAGAATGCAATTTCTATAAGATTCTATAAATAGGATCTCCTTTATGAAAAAAATTCCTTGTACTTGACAATTTGGACAGCAATGTTTGTTATTTAATCTATTAATATGATAATTTTTTTCCTGCCCTGATATTTCATTTTGAGTTATGTAAAAATGCAAACACTTTGCCTTTCAATTTATGTTTAGAAAACGATCTCAGAACTTTAAATATCTCCATCAATTTTTATTATACCAGAGTCAAATCTTTTAAGTTTTATTCTTTAGAATGAGTAAAACTTTTACTAAATATAATAATAGTGACTGGGAACTGTGTAAAAATTTAAGATTTCAAAATTTTTGCAAAATAGACTGCTTAAATTAAAAAGTGGCAGAACATAAATATTGAACCATTTGTATCTGAAATTTTGTATCATTTGAAACATTTGTATCTGAATATTTATGTCTGCAATGAAAAACTGAAGGCGAAAGCTTCAAAGACTTTTAGGGACACAGTGTATCTTCATATATATATATCTATACATTTTTAATTGCATTCTAATCAATTTCAATATATCTTGCACAGCCCTCTAGCACGAATTTTTATGGAATTAAATCAGTTCAATTTCTATTCATTTGTAATGTATCAATTTCACTTTTATAACATGATGCATACTTGAACGTTCCACGATATACAAAAACTTGTATGAAGAGTTGACATTTAGAAACAACAGGATGTAGAATGTAAAAGAGTGAAAATTTTCTTTACTGCTTAATTTATGATTTTCCCCATCCCTGGAATGTATGCTTCTGAAAATAACTGTGCTTTTGCACTTTTTTAATATAATTTGCAACTGTTTTTAATTCCCCTCTTAAAAAGAAAAACTGCAATAGATTTTAGACAGAATTTAATTTTTTATAATACAAAAAAAAAAAAAAAAAAAAAATCTATTTTTCCTGGTTTTGGAAAGAACATTACTTATTTGTATAAACAGATTACCACATACCTGAACACAATGTGAACCTTGCTGATGACTAGAACTTGTTTTATCCATCTAAAAAGCAATTATAACTCTACTTAAAAATAAGTTTGCAAAAAATTCATTATGCATAACAAAACTTACATTACATAATTTCATCTAAGAAGCATAAGCGATGAAAATAATTTACTGATTTAGAATCAGTAAAACAGAGCACAAGAGATAGGGTCTGTTTAACTCTTTCATGATAGGTACACTGCGCAAAAAAAGGGGGAACAGTCTATATCTCCCGTTTTACTGGGCTGATTGACAAAATTCAAATTGCATTTTTCATGTCTCAAAAGGGCGACTTAGGATATATTAGATTATATATAGCACTGTTATAACATAGGTATTTCGACACAAAATCTGACTTTTTCTGAAATAACATACCAATTTTTTTTTTCAATATTTTGATTCTATGACTCAAATTATTCCTAGATATTAAATTTTGTAAAATTTGGTACAAAATTTATGGAGAAATTCAAAAATTTATCTTGGCAAAATTTTTTTCAGTTTGGCCAAGAATAATTCACTTGCTGAACTTCTTAATATAAGGCAACCAATTTTCCTTTACCTTCCATTATGCCGGAGCAGAAAAAAAGACATTTTGTTCCTACCTTTTTACATTGTGCATGAGTGGAAAAAAAGGCACATCGTTTCCACTTCCAAATAATTTTAGCAAAGTGTTTAAACCACATCTGATGTTTTCTTACTTTCAACAAGTATGCCAAACTTCAAAACTCGCCAATATATAAATTCATGTATATCTTCAAAAATTTTGAATAAAAAATTATAATTTTTTGCAGGTATGCTTAGAAATATGTTTACTTTAAGATGATGGTAAACATTTTATAGATTATAATTCAAAATTTTTTTGAAAAATTTATAAAGTTTTTTTTTTAATAAATCATTTGGAATGAACCTGAATATGAAATGTGAAAGAAAGAATCAAATAAGCCTAATAAAAAAATATTAATAAATATATACCAAACTCAATTAACATTGAGGAGCTAAAATTTTGAGAGGTAATTTTTTTAAAAACTACTCGTTGCGATTTTTATGAAGCTTGGTAGTTTGGCGTTATTTGAGTCGTAAATTGAAATATGGAAAAAAATTGGTATGTTATTTCAGAAAATGTCAGAATACCTATATTAGAACAATGCTATATGTAACTCTAATACATATCCTAAGCCGTGCTTTCGAGACACGAAAAACTTAAGATGAATTTCATCTATCAGCCCAGTAGAATGGGAGATATAGAACTGTCCCCCCTTTTTTGTGTGCAGTGTACCTATTTCAATAAACTGTTCTCCTCTTGGAACAGTTTATTAACCTTTTAACTGTCAAGTTATTTTGATGATTTGGGTACACAAATTGTCAAATTTTTTTATTGGAAAAACCAAATGTAGCCGAAATAAACATCTCCCGATATATATTCGGGTATGAGAATACGATGCACTCAAAAAAAAAATTACCCCGAGAAATACTCGGGCGTGACATTTTCGAACACCAGTGCTGTGCCCGAGATTATCTCGGGCATGACAGTTAAAAGGTTAACAGGAAGCACTGTCTTCTTGGGACGAGCATTTGGTGCAGCTATGCCTAGCTTTGGGGAGAAAATTGCATAAACTAAATATATGGTATAATTGTTTCAATTTTTGGCATATTATGAGAGGAACACTCAGGCAGCTGTCAGGGTGAATTTGAAAACTTCACCATTAGATTTTCTTTGCCATTTGAGGCATACAATTTGTTTCGTTAAACGATACACAAAATATTCACCTCAGTGCTAGGCAAACAAATAAAACCTCTAAAATAATAGCACATATATACTCATACCACCAAAAATAAAAATATTCAGGACCATTAAAAACATTCCCATATGTTTATATCAGGTAATGCAATTAATAGCTCTGTTTATTTATGATTTCAACTCATGATTTCCACTTTGATTCAGAAACAAAATACCAAAAATAAAAAATACTGCAATGGAATGATGGTCAACATTCTTCAATCTCGATAAATTCTACCATAACAAACATAGGGCTAGGTGTAGTAACAAAAATAAATAACTCAATATACACATTCTGTCTAAAAAAATTTTATGTGGTACACTTGTCTGAACAGTCCATTTAAAGAACAATTCACATATAACACACCCAGTTCTGAAATACAGTTGCCAGCTGATGCATATATAACACACCTGTCCCGAAAGGGTTAATAATAACCTGTGTAAGCATATACTATCCAACATTCTCTGCAAAGAATCCACTGCCAAAATTACTATTCACCCTACAATGTATGTGTATGTGCTGCAATGGTCAGCTGAATATCAAATATGTATAAACAAATGACAATATTGTCTTTTCAGAAGAATCTAGATTCTGCTTACAATACTCTGATGATCATGTCTGAGTCTGCCAAATGCATGACTAACATCATGACCTTTGCAGTACACACTGCCATCCAGTTCCTCCACAGCAATATGACTGAGGTGCCAATGGAACTTCCTCCTGCATCTACCCCATACATATTGCTAGCACATTCAGGTATTATCGCTATATCTCAGAAGTTTTGGAGCCTGTTCTCCCTTATCTACAAGGCTTGCCTGTAGTCAGGTTTTAACAAGATAATGTAATAACACATGCAGGATGGACATTCAACAATTTTTCATTGCCCACCATGTCATATTGCTACCTTGCCCCACCCATTCTCTTAAGTAAATTCCTCCTCAAACAAACAACAGGCTTCTTCCTTTCAAGTAGAACCTGCAAGTAATTTCTCTTTCTCTTAGTAATGAGGCATGCTGCAGCAGTTATTACCAGCCATGGCAATGAAACAAAATACCACTTTCCCATTCAACAAGGCAAATGAAACTGTAATTTTTGATCAATCCATCCTCATAGCTTATATTATTTGCCCAGTAAATACAGATTTGATATCTCTTGTTTCTCATGGTGTTACATATTAGACAGCCAGGAATGTAGTACATAAACAGCATTTCTTTACAATTCATGATCTCATTCAATCTGTTGCAAAATATTTTATTATTTTCATCATTTCTTCACTACACCTCATCTGCACTACATATTTAATCCATAATGATCATAGTGAAATCACATGAAAGAGATATCATGCACAATGCCAACCTGCAACATGAAACTTTTTCCTACTTTCAATACTCCACTGATTTCTAATCACATTTTTCGATTACATTTACACTTTTTCCTTATTAAATTAATTGGTATTGACAAAAAGACATATCTTCTTGCAAGAAGTATTGCACGGAGCATACAAACATGGACTGAAAATAAATCTCTTCATAACCATAATTAGTCAATAAAATTTAAACTAATGAAATTCATAAGTGATCAAAGGCATGCTACATAATATAATCAATATTTAGTAAATAAATTATTATCATCTTACTTTGCAGCTATTGCATAAGCATTATGAAATTCATTTCGATTTCACTGAATTTCAATTAATTCATTCAATCTTTGATGTAATTTAATAAATATACACGTACATATATCTTTATATACGTATGCATAAATCTACAAGCAAACACATATGTATAAATGTGTATGTGTGCCTGTGTGTATATATACTTTATGCCCATTTAAGGATATGCATGCTTCCACTTTATACCATATTATATAAATTCAGACATACATACTACATAGATATGTAGGTGTACATTTCCATAAACAAGTATAATCTGGGAATCATAAATACACTAAAACTAGCAGTTTGAAAGCTTTTTCTTTTGTAGAAGAGACAAATTTCTTCATTGTGTTTCTCCCTGAGGCTCACCTCTAAGATTCCAAATGGCACATTTTAAAAGCTACCTCCATATCAGTGTCTCGATTTCACGGTCAAATAATTTTAAAATCAGTCATTCAAAATGGATTAGAGTAGCATTTATGTAATATCACAGTCTATTGAGCTCTGAGAATACAAACAGGATGTAAAATTTCTTATATAACATACAAGTCATTGTTCTAAGACAACACCTGTTCCCCATGTAAATTTCTGAACTTTGACCTTTTAACTGATTGAATGCCTTTGTCATTCATTGGACACACATCTCAGCAACTAGGCTCAAGGCATTCCGGAGGGCATACCTTGGTTATATCTTGGTACAGGGAAAAATCGGTCAATTCAACTGTGTCAGTACATGGTTCACTTGACCTGACGATGAAGTTATTTTGAGTAACTGCACATAAAGATACTCACTAATATATCATAGAATTTAAATTGTACAATATAAAATATGCCAGCATGGTTTATAAGGTATTTCTCCCACCTTCTTGGCAAGCCTTTGTGGTGTAGTGGTCCACAAGCTGGGCCGGTATTCCAGAAGTCCGTGGTTCGATTCCGGGTGAAGGCGACTGCCAATTTTTCACCTTGCCTGCTTTTAAAAAATACATAATGTCTCTATAGGTTTATGTCAAAGCTGCTACTACGACAGTCTAGAGTTGAAATGAACTGGTTCAGACAATAGAGGAAATAGAAAAATTCACATGCGACAATTTCAAACAGGAGAGAATTTCGCTGACCAGGCACCTGAAATTTTTCTTAATGTGCTAAATTATGTAGCATAACAAAACATAGAATAATATAATTCGGTACTGAAGACAACTAATTATCATGTTACCCCACAGCTTTTCCGAAACTAAACAAACTATTTTCCTCTAAATTTGAAAAACTCTTTGCACTAAGAAATTACCTTAATTTTGATACCTGAGGAAACACGTTCCCTTAATGAGGCTGAGAAATCAGCATAAAAACACAAATGGAATTCATGTGTAAATGTGATGTTTTGAATTATGGGTTTTCATACTAAATAAGTTGACATTTTTAATGGCTTAAATTCATTCCGTTATTAATACCTGAAACACATTACTAATTTTCAATAAACAGTATAAAATGGTAAATGATTAAATAATCCTTCTTTTTCTAATTTTTAAAACAAAACATATTATTCTAGAAAACAGTTTTGCACCTTCTGTTTCATTCTGCAGATACTTTGAAAAAGAAGTGAATGTAAATTGGGAACACTTATGTAATTGGACATTGCAATACCAACAATCTACAATAAAATAAAATTATTTTTAATTAAACCAGGTATATTCTAGTTTGCTGAAAGTTTTCTCCTAAATAATATGCTATGAAGTAGATTTTTAACAGTTCCACTGAACTTTAATTTTTAATCATTTCTATAGCATTAAATGTTTATTTTTTAATTATTCATTCTATGGGAAAAGTTCAAAGATATAGCTAAATTTGGTAATATATTCGAAAACAAATTAAAAATTATAAGGAAATTTAACAGTGAAAACAAGAGACTGAGATGAAGACTAGTTAAATTTAAAATTGTGCATGAAATAATCAAATAGTTGAAATAAATTTGTGACATAACATTAATATAAAGATATGATAGAAATAATTAAGCATTTCCTAAACACACAAAATTTTGTAATGTAATTCAAACAAAATATTTGTAACAATGAAAGTAACATAATATAAAGAATGACATTTTCTGCATCGGAAGTTTACACACTTTCTTCTGCATAACATCCATCTGCAACAACTGCAATATGAAATTTTCCCTCAAGAAAAGCATCTTGAAGGCTGGTAACTAATCCCTACATTTTCCTTCATTTTGTGGCATAAATGCACCCCTCTGAGAATCCATTAAACTACACACAAGGATCTTTGTTGTAAACAAAACGTGATTAATTAAAGGGGGAAGGATTTGATTCAGGATACCTCGTCCTTTCAAGGCTTTTACAGCTGCCAAAGACCCGGCCTCAAAATGTTAAATATGACTGCACCTTGGTTTCCTAGAGACAGGCATTTCAAAGTTAACTGTATATAATAATTTTATCAACTTGTATATAATAATTTTATACTACTTAATATCTGAAATTTATCATTTCTGTAAAAAGTTCAAAGGTGCCTCCTAATCTTGTGGAGTACAAGGGATCACGAAACAACGCAGCAGTCTTGCTCACTTATTTACATCATTTTAGCAAGTAATTTCTTTATAATTGTGTATTTTCAGGACAGCAGATTCCATACACTTTTTATCCAAAATACTGAGAGTTCACGCTTGCAAACTATCCTTATCATTAAATTTATACTAATGATGGTAAGTGATTTTTAAAATTCACAATTTTACAATGAACTTCAATTCAACATATTTCAACATTATTCCTCAAAAAATCATGGGAACGTTACTTTTTTATAATATATAACAAGTTTGCAAATAATACATAATTTATTGCACCAAAAGCATAGAAAATATGAAATCAACAAGACGGACAAAATAATTTTACTGCTATTACTATCAAGACAACAGAAAATTCTGACAAGAATTCTTAAATGGATGGTTTCAATGCCATCAAACAAATAGCACTGGAATAAATTTAACAGTAGTAACCCGAAAGTGCATAAATTATGATTGAAAAAAGTGAAAAATTTATTTAAAAAAAGAGGGGGCATGAAAGTCTCTAAACTCAGTGGCGCAAACAGCTTTAATGAGTAAGGCCTGCAGTGCCCCGAAATCTGCTTCCTTGTCCGTGGGAACCGGGGTGCATAAGCATATGCCCTGAACAAGTGGTCACCTTGGGTCATAGGAACCCAGTGTTTAGTCCCCAAGCGAACTTGGTACTCATTTTATTGACCCAAGGGGTGGAAATCATGGGATGAAAGGCTGAGTCGACCTTGCCCAGCCCGGGGTTTGAACCCCGGACCTGTGGTGCTGCACAAAGTGCTAATCACTGCGCCACCGAGCCTCATGAAAGTCTTTAGAGATATTTAAAATAATGCAAATATAAAATTTGTTTCTTTGTTATTGCTTTATTTTAAAATTCAATGGGAGATAAACTATCACATTAAAATGTACCCACAGCAAAACATACTTGTTATTCTAAAAAAATAACTTCATTATCAGCTGCAAGAAATTTAAAGCAATAAAATTAACAGCAAATTGATTTTTTTTAAAAAAAGCAACAATAATTTTACAACTAAGTTATGAAGGTGTTTAAAATGAACAGACATGCAAAAATTCCCAGTCTTAATCCCAATTTAATCACATCTTTTGGTAAACTGAGGCAACAACAGTCCATATTACAAGGTTCTATTACATTTGAACAGCCCCATACTAAAACGTATTCTTGAACATTATTAAGCTGCATGTGCAATAATGCACAAGTTCTGAAATCACAGACTGATGAATATTGTACATCTACTCAGTCAGAAACATTTTAAAGTTATCACAAACAATAAAAAAATAATTAAGAAGTATTATTAATTTAAAACACATACCTTTAAAATGAAACAAAATACCCTTAATTAAAATAATAATTAATATTTTTTGTGTTCTTAAATTTGTAGTTAAAAGTATTATATACCACAAAGCAAAAACTGAGCTTACAAGCATACTGTTTTCTAAACTGTACCTTAAACCTTACAAATCTGCATATTTACATATCACATATATAATACAAACTTAAAATGTTGAAATAAACTGTAGATAACTTATAAAATATGCAATGTCAGCTGAGGATTTGTTGAACTATGATGTATCATCATCTTGGAAGATCGGTGACCTTTGATCAACCTAATTTTGGTTTCCTGTAGACATTTACACCTTATAAATGTCTGTATAACCAGAAAACAGATTTAGTCACCAAGATGTCATCCTCAGGACATCAAACTCATTTATTAACTTTCTAAAAGTCCAATGCCACAATGAATTGTTCAAATCAACTTTTCTAGGAACGTTATCCCAAAACAATTACCATATTTGACGGCATATAAGGCACACTTTTTTCCCCTAAATTTGGTCTCAAAAAAGTTACCTGCATCTTATACATGAAGGACACAGTCTCATACATGAAGGTAATTGCATTCAATAATTGCTTATTTGGCTTTTACGAAACGTGAGAACTAAAAGAAACCACGCTATTGAAACTTTTTTTCCTTGTGTGTGGCCGTCAAAATAAGAGTGCGTCTTATATGCCGTCAAATATGGTACTTTCCGAGTTTATCCAAAAGCTGTTCCTTTCTCTTAACTTACAATGAACAACTTAAAATGACTGCAATGAACAACTTACCGCATCTTTTCATTCCACGTATTACGAGGTAAATAATTATGACATATGACTCACAATATGATTATTCACCTAAAGACACACTCAAAGTATCTTTTTTCTCCTTTCTTCATAATATCTATCACTACTCAATGTACATAATTGCTGAAATCACCATTACACCATACTAACTAAAATATAGTCAAACCTTGCTCTTGCATCAATGCTACAGCTTTGAATATCAATGACCTTTCAGTCGTTCTCTTAGCCATACAAACTAAAGTACAAGAAACAACACATGCTGCTTCTTAGAAAATATACAGAAATCATCATTGCTCCTCCCCATTCCACTTTACAACATAGCACTGCAAAATAATAGTTCGGTTTCTTCCATACAGTTCTTTCCACTTACTTTTTTCATGGACTTTGAGTTTATATCTGTAAGAACAGGATCATCAGATACAGCAGTTGCAGAATCAGTAGTCATGACTAAGCTTGACTGAAATGTCTCATACTCCCTGTCATTACCACAAGCAGCATTTAGAGAGTTGCTGGAAGAGGAAAAATAATTCAGTACTTTAGTGAAATGGCATTTTATAAAACTTAATAATTAAAAAATTTATGAGACACAAATTCTATAAAATGTAACAAAAAAACTGTACTCACCTGTCACCACTTATGTCTAAACCAGAATCTTGAGCACTTTTCTCTTGGCTCCCTTATAAAAAGAAATTATTATTTTACAACAACACAAAAATTTACTCCACACAAACTACATAAAGTTTACTGATGAGATTATAAACTTTGTGCAGAGTGACATTTATTATAAATTTTTAAATGGCAATCACCTCGTTTTTAGGTCTAACTGATATTGACACGATATCAATAAAATACCCTTAATACCGAAAAAATAATAGCATGAGACAGCTCTTCACATGATGAATTCAAAAACCCCATGCTTCTCTTAAAATGCATGTCATAAAATAACCTGTTTCAGGTTTGAGTCATTCACAAAATGCAGTAAAATATGTAATTCTAGTTAAGTATACAACTTTAAAAGGACAAAAATGCAGAGCTTGAAGAGAAGTTAGTTATTAAATTAGTTCATACAGAAATTAGTCTCAGAACTATTACATCAGCCTTACACATGAGCATTCAATAGGTTTAATCTAGACAGGCACTGGAGGGCATTGCATTGTTAAATGAAAGAATGTGCACACTTAAATAGTTAAATACTATGCTTGTCTGACTGCATTTTAATAATTCACAATGAACACAAAAAGCAATATTAGCATGGACTAGAAATAAAGTTAATTATATAATAATTAATTTAATACACCTCACCTTCAAATCCACCCTTAGTAGAATCAAGTTTCACAAACAGCGATAAACGTCCCAAAGGCGACTCTCTCAGTAACTGCAATTATTCTAGTATTGTTAATAAGTCTTTACATTATAAACTCTTAAATTACAGATCAACATATTTTATGTACATACATTATTCCATTTTAAAACAATAAGACCCTTCTCAGAAACTATACTCTTACATACATGACAACTGGAACTGAAGGTTAGATTAGATTATTTGAATACAGAAATTCACACAAGAGCTACCTGCCTATGGGAAGGGATGCCTTTGTGAAGTACTTTCAAGGAAAACTGGCTTATATTCACATTACACATGGAGAAAACCAATACACAGCCAACCTATTTGAATGTGATCGAACTTGGTATTCAGTGAACTCAAACACTCAGCTACTGGTGAGGCACTGACAATTGAAAAATAAATTCTAAAAAAACTGGGGAAATTATGGATAAAATAAATATCTAATACGTCTTCACTATTGAGCAATATTTAAAAAATAATGATGGTTTAGCAGCTTCAGTTCACAATATTTGTTAAAAATATGGCTGCAAGTGAACTTAATGAACTGTAAAGAGATTAATTAAAAAATTTAGGTAGGTTGGATAAATTAGTTATCTTAAACACTCTGGCCATCCTTCAAAAAGTCGTTCAATGTAAAACATCAAAGCAGTTGGTCAGTGTTCCTGAGAGTCCAGGGACATCAGTTTCGCACTGTGGTCAAGAATTAGACATTTTGAGAAGCTTACAGATCATGAAAGATTTACATCTTCATGCTTACAAAGTTCAAATTACTCAAGAATTGAAGCATACTGACCATGCACAGCAAAAAGAGTTCATTGAATCTTGTGGAACTAGTAGTAGACAGTGATTTTTTGAACAAAATCATCTATATAGCAATGAAGCTAATTTTCACCTTAATGGCTTGATTAATCTATAAAACTGTCACATGAGGGGTTCAGAAAATCCATGAATGATTGTTAAGAAACAAATTCGTGCACAACATGTCACTGGTGCTGATTATGGGCTAAAGGCATCTTTTTCAAAAATGTGGCTCGTCATGCAGCAACAATTAACAGTGCTTGCTATCACAACATTATAATCCAGTTTTTCTGTGCCTAAACTGCAAGGCTTGCGATTTCAATAAGACAGCACATGCCAATATAGCCCAAGAAAGCTGTTCAATTACTGCATGAGTCATTTCCTTTTTCTTTGGATTTTTTGAAGCATAAGGTTTATGCTAACAAGCCCATGACCTCCCATGCCTTGAAGGAGGAAACTGAGCACTGTATGAATGAAATTCAGCCACATTTATGCAAAACAGCCATGGAAATTTTCAACAAAAGAGTGAGCATAAATTACCTGATACGCTATTCCATACATAGGCCATTTACCCGATGTGCTATTCCATACATAACCATTTATGAATCAATAAAAAATCTGCAATTTTAAATTATACACCTATATTTTCTATCAAAATTACTTCTTGCATGAATTTTGGGACACTCTTCATATTGGAAGAAAAGACATCAAGGTACAAAGTGAGGGTCATTTTGGAATAAAGATCAAGAAAATAAGACTTATTTGTGGCATTATGGGGAACTTTGAAATATCAGGAACAAACATGCAATGCTTGGATGGTTAAGCATTAATTCTTATTGGCTTTGCATGGATTGCAATAGCAGAATATATACCCAAAAGTAGAGATTTAAAACGAAATATTGGCAGAAATTCACAACTCAGTCTGTGTAATAGTGACAAACAATAAAAAGCACTACTGCACATGCAGAAAAAGCTAAGTAACTTTATTAATAATAATTTCCTTTTTCAAGTAAAATATGTAATTAATTTTCATACACTTTTGTTAAAAAATTTATTTAGACATACGTATAATAAAAGTCGCCATAAATGTGCAGCCATATTGAATTTTTTTATTTGTTTACATTTTAAGATGTAACATTTGCAGATTATTGGAATTCTGCAATACCTAAATATTTATTAAATTAAGCTTAAGTTATCTTAATGTGGTTAAGCACACAAGAGCTATCTGCCTATGCGGGTGGGATGCCTTCATGCAGAACTTTCTAAGATGATTTGTATTCATATTACTCATGGGAAAACCATGCAAAACAATCATGCTGCGAGCTTACTCATCTGGGTTCTAACCTAAGTCAAATTACTAAAATTCAGCAGTTTTTAGTGGCTTGGGAGGCCAGACATTTATTAAGAAGTCTGTTCTACCAATCGTGCCTACAGAAGATACCAGTAAGATAGTCTTAACAATGCTACAGTAATCAGAAAGCAAAGAATGATGATCATTTTTATTCAATCAAGTTGCGAAAAAAATTCACAAAAGCAGATGAATCCAAAAGAACGGATATATTCTTAATTTTTTTTATTATTTGGATATTTTACACAATTAACATATTTTAAAAAATCTTCAAATATTTTTGGCATTTTGAGATAGCTTTCTACATCACACCGGACCATGCACTATATATCATTTTCTGAAAATTTTTTCTCTGTATCAAACATATCAAATTTTTCTCTGAATATATTTTAGATTTAAATCAGCTGCACGAGAAAAATTGATACTGAACAGTACTTCTGAGGTTTTTAAAATTATTTCATCAGATATCAAATCCTTTGAAATGTTTTTAATTTTTATGGTACAAGTTAAAATTGAGAAGTTTTTCTGCATTTGGAAATTTACTAAAATATTTTTTCCACATTCTAAACAAGGATGCTACAGTAAAACATCTGCCACTTACTATTTCTTCCTTGCAGTTCTAAATCCGGTATGCTCAAATTACACGAAAAATGTGTTAGAAGCACAAGGTCACAGAAACAATGCTCATCACTTAAATTTGCACAGAATCTAAATCAATACATTATTAAATTATTGCAGAAATGTATTCTGATTTGAAATGTATTTTGATTCTGATTCTGAGTTGAAATGTATTTGATTTGTTAAAGAAAAGATTTTAACTTTTCTCAATTCCTAAAAAAAAAAAAAGCACTAAAATTTAAACTTAAAACAAGCTTTGAACATTTTCCCATTCTCCCACTTTAAATTAAATTGTCCATTCACTACTCTTTACTATTTAGGATATGTAAGATGTATCCTTCCAATGCCTAAAGCCCTTTATTGCCTCAGCATATCATCTAACAGATGAGGGATATCCAAGCAAAGTTCACACAGTTTGGCTGCATAACTTAAAAGTTTTTTTAAAAGAAAGAAAATTACAACTAAACCTCAGCAGGGTCTTTTATATGGTTTCACAGTTAGGTTATGATAATTTAAACTTCTAAATGCACTAATGCATCCATAGTTTAAAAACATGATACATTAAAAGTATATAAAGCATTAAACACATGCTCTACATTAATCATTAGTACTTATAACTTGAATTATTCACTTTTAAGAATACTTTTCTTATTTTCTCTTCTATAGCACTAACTTTTCTGAGGGGGAATATTACTTTACCTACTGACTTACTGAAGGCATTTCCTTCACTGCATATTTGTATGCTTACAAGATCCTATTTGCTTTTCATATTCAGCATATATACATTCTGATGCAAAGTATGTTCAAGCTATTGCAAATCACAACCAAAAAGTTTCCACAGTACACATCCTATTTCCCTAGCATTAATTCACTACACTTCATTTTTTATCTATTTAATTTCAAGTCAGAGCTCATCACTTTTAATAAAAAAGAGAACTGAAGTTTCATTTTAAAGCCTTTTAAAGCAAGGGAAACTCATTTTAATTTTAATTAAAGATAATTACAACTCATTTTACAGTCACTTAAGTTGCACAGCTAAAAATAAACACCTAATATTCATTAAAAATTCAGATATATAAATTACAAAACACAGTAACACTCACTTTAGAATTCGATGCTTTTTGAAAAAAGTCAAAGGCAGAAGGTTCCTTGAAAACTGAATAAAGAAATTTTAATAAATTAGTTTCAAATAAAATATAGAATAATTAAATAAATTATAATACAATAAAATATATAATGTGACATGAAATCAAAAGACACTGCTTTACCATTTTATAATGATTCAAAAATTTATACCTGAATGCTGATATTGAATTCATTTCAATTATGCCAAGATTTAAATAATAAATGTGCAATGCATATATGCAATGGTAAACAAATCATAAAAGCACTAAAACCACACACCATCAAAATGGTGGATTCTCCATCCATTAAATGGTGCAAATAGCTCTCTCCTGATCTCTCACCAATTGAACACATTTGGGATGTTATTTGATGCCATTTTTGTAGGCTTGCCACAGCCATATTCAGAAAACGAACTGTGGTAAATGGTTGACAGGGAATGGAGAGCCATTCCTCAAGATACCATCTATAGTCTCACTGACTTTGTACCTAGACGTGTTGCTTTGTGTATCGCCGTCCAAGGTGATTCTACAACCTACTAAGCCGATGCTGTTCTCACTCTGTATTATGCACATCATTTCAAAATAAGTGTCACTTAGTGTTCGTTGCTGTCTCTCTCTGTTTGCTGAGTTTCACCACTTTCTGGTAATTCCTTCTTGGTATTGCATTTTCAATATCGGGTACTGTATTTAACCAAACAGATTATTGAATTACATCACTGCTTTCAAAACTTGCAGTATCTAGATTGACAGATTGATTTTCAATTCCCATTCTTAAAATTTCTCAAAATAGACCAAATACAATTTGATGAAATTTGGTATGAATACAATCAATATATAATAGCAATTCACTCAACACAACAGTTAAAGTATTCAAAATCATGAGCAATGCTTAAGATAACAAGGAATGTCCAAAACTGATACTGCAAGATGATGCCTAAAATGAGGCTAATTAGGGAGCACAATCACCTCTAAGAGACATATGTCATACTCACTCCTGTACTAGTTTCTGGATGGGTTCTCAGAGGTGATTAGCAAACTGTAATTGCCCTTTTCTAAATGCATATTGCTGGTTTCTAAATACAAATATATATAGTTTACTGAATATGTTACATCTAGGTCATCTAGTTATCTCATATAAAATTACAATACCAAGTTCAATCAGATTCTGGTCTGGAGATATGGCTAACCAATACATCAACTAAATATCTCACTTAAAAAATAACTAGTCATCCATGAGTTAAGCCTTATGAGAAAGTGCAATACCATTGACAAAAATAAACTGACAGTTAACTGCACTCCTAAAATCTCATATATAGGATTCTAAGACCTCTCCTCTATATCCTTGAGCAGTCACACAAAATTTATAAAAAATTCAGAATGGTGTCTGATCATCCACAGCCTGTCCAGACAATATCTAATAATCATAATGGTTCCTTTACTTGAAGTTGGAGAAATGGAATCTGATTCGATGTTTACTCCAGATGAAAGTAAATCAAGAATCAGCATTTCGGTTAAATCTAAACTCATCAATGGAAAGGAAGTTGAGTTTATTAGAAACTCAATATAGCAGAGAGTGGATACTTGCATGCATGAGAATAAATAATACACAACATACCTATTGGGAGTTTGGAACACAAGTTTTATTGGTTTGCACAGTTACATAGAAGTATATAAAAACAGTGGTGCCCTCTATGGGCCAAGAACATATTTAAAGCTAACCTTTTTTACACGCCCGCTTTGGGTTTAAATATCATCCTAATTAAACACAATGAGAAATTACAGCAGCACACACATACATATAATAAAATATTAAATTACATAAGTCTTCATTTTAAACCCATCATCCTTGCACACATTTCATGTTTTGCACTGTTTACAATTTTTGTCAAAAAATCTGCATTCATATCATTAGTAGACTTATACCATATGTCAATGTGCTGAAGTTTCACAGCTTCTTGCACGAAATGATGTTGTATATCAATATGTTTTGATCTACCATGACACACTATTTTTGCTGGGATTAATAGCACTGTTGTTATCGCAGTATAATAATACTGGCTTTGCAGTAATAATCCCAAGTTCTTTAACAATTTTGTTGAGCCATAGGCTTCTTTAGTAGCTGCAGAAAGAGTCATACATTCATTCGGCTTCTGTTGCACTAGTTGCAATGGTAGGTTGACGCTTACTACACCATGATACTGCATCACTTCTGATGAGGAAAACATATCCAGTGGTTGATTGTCGATCCCCAGCATCACCTCCATAGTTTGAGTCACTGTAACCAAGGACTTCAGCACTAGAGGCCTTTGAAAAGGACAATGTAGCATCTGTAGTGGCTCGAAGATACCGCATGATGCACTTGACAGCATTCCAGTAAACCCCTTGCCAGATTATTGGAGAACTGGCGAAGGAAATTCACAGCATAAGTTATATCTGGTTGTGTTGCTAGAGCTGCATAAAAAAGACTCCCAACGGCAGCCTGATAAGGAACAGGTAGTTTTTGCTCCTTACTAGTTGGTACCTGCAGTTTAGATAACACTTGATTCTGATCTAGTGGTGTTTTTACATCATGAGATTCATGCATATTATATTTGCGAAGCATACTCTCTACATACTGAGTTTGACTAAGGCTAATGGACCCTTTTGTTCTATCTCGTTCAATTTTAATTTTTAAGCAATAATTTGCTGGTCCCAAGTCTTTTATTTCAAATTTTTCTTTAAGTTGTTGTTTTACTAATTTTAAAGTTCTATGTTATTACTAAAAATGAGTAAGTCATCAACATTAAATAGTGGCAATAACTAGTTCTTTATTTCCATTTATTTTAATATAGACACAACTATCAAAAGAACTTTGCCTCAGTCCCATTTCTATTAAACACTTTTCCAACAGTTGGTACTAAGGTTTATCTGTTATTTCCTATGTGTTGTTTTTAATATGACCTAATATAGTCCACATATAGAATCCTTCCAATGGTTTGCATCATTGCCCTTTAATGCTTCATCAATGGTTTTCGGTTCAGAATACACATCATTTGTTGCCGCTGCTAAAGCTTTAACAAAGCACATACGATCTATGGCATTTGCACTTCTGGCATCCCGTGTGTGTCAAAGTCCTGATAACTTTTCAGGAATCTAAGTTTTCTGTTTCTGGTCAACATAGGTAGCTCATCAGCTATACTACTGTTATTGTGACTATTATTTTGAGCAGTATTATGTTCATCGTAATTAGATTTAATACTAACATTAACTAATTCATGATGATCAGATTGAGTACTATCATTAACCATCCCTTCCAATTCACTGTTCTGATCATCAGCTATTGCATTCTCAGTATCTGAAAATGTTGTAACTGAATGAGGATTCATCATAAAATTTTGGCATATTACTTGCCTTTTTGTAGTACATTTCATTTTCCAAAAATTGTACATCTCGTGCATTTATTATTTTATAAGTTTTTGGATCTATTAATCGATAGCCTTTTCTATCCTGACAGTACCCAACAAGCATTAATTCTTTTGCTTTTATATCCCACTTTTTACTTTTTTGTTTTGGAATGTGAGCAAATGCACGACATCCAAACACTCTCTCATTTGAAATATTTTTTGCAGTACTTAAAGCCCTCTCATTACAAAAATCAAAAGAATACAAATTATCTCCAATACCTGTTCCAGTAGCAACTAAATGTTTACCATCATACACAAATAACTTTCACTTGTAAAAGTACTAACCATTGCAAATACTTTATTTAAATACTTAATGGACAGTAAATTGACTGTTAACTTTGAAACATGTAAAACATTACCAAAAGTTACAGAATCCCTTTTGTATTTCTAGATAAAAGGAAAGTTATTTTACCCTTACCCTCTACTTCTATCACTGAACTTCCTGTTTTTATTTGATGAATACTAGCATCCTAATGATCACCTAATAATTCTTTAGGTGGAGTCATGTGGTAAGAAGCCGAAGAATCCATGTACCAAATATTGGGATCTGGATTAGAATTAGCTACATGAATTTTTTAAAGTACCTTTTGCCTCCAATATTTTTATTAACAAATGCATATTCCTTATTTTCATTGACTAGGGGGTCTTCGGCTAACAGATGATTTTTAACATTGTCAACTGTTATTGCCTTATCACAATTTTTCAAAGCCATTATAAGAGGTTCAAACCTATCAGATAAATTAGCTAAAATTATTCCTGCAATAAATTCTTCATCAGGTTTAACACCAGTGGATTTTAATTGCTGGTAAGCTGAAATGGCCCTATATGAATAGTCAGACATATTCTTGCAATCAGTATAACGGGTAGTCACTAATGTTTAAATTATTGAAACCTTTCTTGTGATTACCTTATCCTCATATGTTTCAGCTAATACTAATACTTTTCATGCTTCGTTTCCACTTGTTAAATCTCTTATATCATTGAAAGTAATTTCACTTACCCCTTCAACTATATATGACAAAGCTTTGATATCCTTTACTGATCTTCTTTTGTACCCCTCTACATAAGCCATAAATCTAATTTAATAAGGTGCATTTTCATGGAAAATTTCCAATCCATGTAATTTTCCCTTCCATTCAATTGTTTGTGACTAAATGAACCTTCTCTCTTTGGCATTTTTCCTTTTTTTTTAACTTTAATCAACAAGAGGAAAAAAAAATTATAATTTCAGAAAAATTCAAATAAATTTTCTATTCAATTAATTTTATTCTCAAAAAAACATTTGCCTAAATAATCAACAGTCAAAAAATATTTGTACTAGTTAAGCTTTTGCAACCATGTGCTTTGGCTAACCCTAACATAACCATGTGGCCAATTTTAGTTAAAGTAATTCTAAAAAATTTACAAATAGAATTAAATAAACAAACTAACTTAACTAGTCATTAGATTATTTATCCTCATTTCTTAATCTGGACTGGGCTCATAACCTATTAGAAACTCAATATAGCAGAGAGTGGATACTTGCATGGATGAGAATAAACACAACATACCTGCTGAGAGTTTGGAACACAAGTGAAATTTTATTGGTTTGCACAGTTATATAGAAGTATATAAAAACAGTGGTGCCATCCATGGGCCAAGAACATATTTAAAGCTAACCTTTCTTACAGAGTTCAAGGCTGACTTTCCGTCCACTATCTCAGATGGGCTCTCTTGCAAGAGGGAGTGAGTAGGGCAGAAACAATTGATCTGGTAAAAAAGGCTCTATCTCATGAATTTTTCAGGTAAAAATAACCCTTGAAAACTAGAAAAAAAAAAATCTAAACCCAAAACGTTCCAGTGGCAGCAGAGAGCTCAAGGAAGCAGTGTGGCTGTAATAATATTCTGGCTTCCATCTGAAAGTCCAAAATATCAATTTCATTGGACATTAAAGCTCTTGAAACCCTTGAAAAGAACTTCTGGCTGTGGATTGAACCTCTGAAACTCCACAAGTTTACTAGATGATACTAGGTGTCATAGTACTCTTGAGATTGTACTGCCTCTGACATACTAATAACTGTCTATCTCATTCCATCATCTAAATGTTGGCGGTTACTGATTCTACTACAATACTCAAGAAATTTAGCCATGTTTCAAAACACAGTGATTGACACCAGTGTGTATGAAGGAAGTAAGAGCAGAAATATGACATACCTACCACCTTTTACATGTATGAGTAAAATAGCACATTCAACACCACTGCTATAGCATTATTAGTTCATCACAGATTTTCCAGTTTGGGTTCAGAACTTTTTGAGGGGGAAAAAAAATTATATCCTTAATTAAATTAAATTCTGAACACCAATGCTGCAGCCCTCTGTTAACATTGCTCTGAATAGCTAATACAAATTCCTACACAAGCTTATATTTTTTCATAAGCTCTACAATAAAAACACTTGCATTAGTTGTTGCTTAACTTTCTGAGAAAATCACCAACCTGCTTTCTGATCATACAGCACAACAGCAATAACTTTCCCAACAGACAGCATGACCCTGAATTTTCTAATCTTGCATTGAATGCCTCCATTCTGAGCATGCGTACTTTGATTTCGGTATACTAGGGCATACTGCTATAAGAATAATGACATGGCATATGTCATTCTTTTCCTTGTAGTAAACGAAAAAGGCTTGCCTTTTCAATTCTACATGAAAAGCATGAAATAGAATACTTCTTTCAATAAAGAGAACCTGTAATATATCTATCATTTCACAATAATGACTTGTCTAGCTTTTGTCACCACTTTAATTATCCCTGCCCGTAACCTATTATTCCAACTACTGAATCAATATTCCAAAGTCTGTCATCACATTCTTCCAAATAATTTATATAATAAGCGTTCACAATATATTAAGTTATTCAGAAGACTCAGTACAGAAGCAAAATAACTAGCAATCATGCCATGGATGTTTATAAAATTCTATGCTAGTAAAATAATTCATGAACTTCATACATATCTGTGACATTACTATTAATACTGGTTGGCAACTCATCTTTCATTTCACTCTAAAAAGCAGTTTGGTTACAGTTTCCGTAGTAAAGATACTTTTATGCCCATACAAGAAGTAGGCTGCTCTTTTAAGTCTGAATCACTGAAAGCTCTTTATTTGAAAAGTGACAAAATATGGCAACTGCATGGATGACACAAATACAACTAGATATATTAATGTAAAACAACACAATGTAACTGAATGTATCAAGACTACCAAACCCTTCAATCTCATGAAAATCTTCCAATTTTTGATAGTATTGAAATTCCACCTCTTTATTATTATTCAAATTATTACACCTTTTATGACAAATTTTCAAAGGTTAAATCAATCTTATAAAGCTTAGAAAATAATGAAGCAATCACATTTGTAAATCTGATGCAACAAAAATGTCATTGTTGCAATGTGAACTTATTTATCATGACAATGAATTTCAAATCACAATTACCTATGCATATATAGTGCAGATTCACTATAGAACTAAAATGTACCACATTCTTCTGGGGTGTAAAAAAATGAAGCTTTATTTATTTAATATTTTTAAAGGGCATAAACAGATTTCAAGCTGTAATTTAAAAGAGAATACTTTGCAAAAGTAACAGTTTCACAAATATCACCAAGATGAAAGAACAAAACAAAGCAACTATACCTTCAATACATTTACAATGATAAGAGAAATTTACAGTCTTTCAGACAGCAGTCCCACTAACTATTTTAATGCTGAATGTAAATTCTGCAGTTTTCAGAGGAAAAAATAATTAATTAAATCTTACGCTCAGCTACAGATCTAAGTTCTTCTTCTGAAAATTCGGCTACATCAGGACCTGCCTCACTGTGATTTTCACTTATACTTTCAGTAGTTGAAGTATGTTTTAATTCTTCTTTCTTAATGAAACTTTGCTTGGGCAATGAATCATGGAATACCTAAAAATTTAAATTACATATTACAATTTTGACAGATTTAATTTCCCACAAAACACTACAGAGCAGGGGTTCTCAACCTTCATTTGCCACAGCCCCTTTTTCACTGTTGTTAGATGATCATTCCCTCTCTCCTTTCAATAACTCAAAAAAGTGCATATAGAAAGAGAGAGACTATTTTTTAATGCATTTTATATATTAAACAGGAAAAGGTGCAGAAGATGTTGATAAATACCAAAATTTGAATAAAAGTAGATTTTTATATTCATAAACTGAAACTAAATATTTAACAGATAAAATAAAAGGCTGACTGCATGCCCCCTGAAACTATGGGATAGTTTCAGGAAACCTGGACAAAATTCCTCCCTGGTTGAGAACCTTTACTATAGAGGGAATATACAAGCAAAAAAAAAAAAATGTGGCTTATTTTTTTAAGCAGGTAGGATTGAATTATATAATAAACAATGAAACATGCAGATATTTGGTATTCTTCTGTTTTCAGGACCAGATTCAGAAGCGTATGTATGTATGCACATGTGTGTATGTGTATGTCCACACACAGATACATATGTTGATATATACATGCTATATAAACACATACATTCATTTCTGGACCCAGCCCTGATAACAGAAAAGTACCAAATATTTTATAGATCAGTTTGCATGACTCATATAAAATCACTCTTTTTCACCTAAGAGACCAGAAAGCTTATTACAATTTTCACACACCTTATTCCAAAAGAGTTTATTATGGAATATTAGCTAAAGAAGTAAATTTCAATGCAATGAAAATAAAGATAATTATGGAGATAATTGAATTTTTTTTTATTATCTAAAGTAAAGAGGCTGGCAATGAACTTAAAAAAAAAAAAGTAAAAGCTTTTGAAAACATTAAATTCAACTTGAAGATTTAATACTTCGCACTTTTCAGCAAAACTCTAATATATTTACAAATACAATGCAAGTTTTAAAATTTTAACATCTTTGTCTACACACAATTATTTTACGGTTATATTACAAGCTCAAGCAAAATACACCTGTATGCATAAAATCATCTCATATCACATCTTGTTACATATAATAATTTTAATAAGATTGAATACTCCGAGATTTATCCACAATGCCTTACACTTAATAAAACTAATCATTCGCAAAATAACATCAACTATCTCGATATTCAAATCATTAACTACAAAAAAATTTTACTGTTTGACAAAACAAGAAATTTCAATTTCAATACTAACAAATTAATAAACTAGACTTCCAACATCTCCAAAAAGGTTATTAGTAATACAATATTAAATCAAATACAACGTATTACAAAAATATTTGCACAGATACGATAGATCTACAACGCGAAATTTTGCTCCTTATTAAACTTCTCAAAAATAATCTAATACCTAATCGATTTATTAAACGTTGTTTTAAAAGAACAGGCGTTAAATCCTCACTCTAAATCATTTAACTGATAGGGATATGATAATTTGTTCCTAAACCTGAGAAGGGAGTAAAGTTGGATGACTATCAGTTGGAGGATTTGTACATAGTGTAATTACAAAATTGTATATAATGTAAAAAGCTAATTGTTTTCAGACTTTTCATATGCTGTTACTAAAAAAATGAGCCTATTTCATAATTTGTAGTCTGTCAAATCGCTCATCGACAGTGAAAATTACTTTTTCCTTTTTTAATTTTCTTCCTCATTCCAACACGACAATTATCCAGAAATTAATTTATTTCCATCCACTAGTTAGTACATTCAAAATTTTATGATAAGGATAAGATAGGGATTTCGGTACTAACTAGTACATAAAATTTTATGTGCATTTTATGTTTTCACTCACATAAGAACTCCACAACAAACGTCCCTCAAACATTCCTAGTCCCTCCCACGTCCCATAAATTACTTCTCAGAAGTTTCACCGCCTGAAATAATTCAAAGTATCCCCGCTGCCAATAATGGAATTTTGGACACACACCCCTTCTGGGTAAGACACAGAAGACAACACTTTACCGACATCCCACTAGAAAGAACAAAAGTTAATTAATGCATTTTCTGGCCTTTTATATCTTCATGTACATTTTACTTTCTTATTATATATATTTCAATTTTTGAATTTTTATCTCATTTGTTTTTGCAAAGATAGCATTGTTATTTTTCTTAATTTTCTCATGTTTATTTCAATTACTTTGAGATCTATTTCATAATTCCAATTAATATTACTACTGTTTATTTTTATACAAATAGTCTTGAATTAACATATATAAAAGCAAAGGTGTTGGGGCACATTTACTCAAGTATTTTGTAAATTGTACTACATAAATTGCTTTTCAAAATTTATGAAGAATCTTTTATTAGCAAAAATGCTTGATTCAGCATGAGTTCTTTGGTACTCTACTTTGGTTATAAATCCCATCACTTCACGGAACAAATGTTTACGCCTAACTTAATTTGCCAGTTTGGCATTATCATTCTTACTTCAGTAAAAGATGAAACACCTTCGCATTTATGGGAGTTGGTTTGTTCCCCTTGAAAAGTCAACTAATTTTTGATTTGCAATAATTACTTGTTTTTAATTTTTAATTTCTTTTTTAAAGTTTGAAATTTTGTTATTCATAATTTAAATACCAGTCCCTGTATAACGTTTTTTTCGTAATTTACATTCAAGTTATTTTAAAACACAATTTTCAGAATTAAACTTCCTACATATGGGATCCCTCTTTTTTGATACTTCTACTAAATTTATATAGGATAATATATCAATATTTCTTTAGTAATACAGTCAAAAGTCTTTAATCCGGACTCGTCGGGACTTCGGCGATTCCGAATTATCGATTTTTACGGATTATAGATCATCAGTTTAAATCTGGTAAGATGGCATGCAGAAATTATAAAATGAAAAATATGAAACCGTAATTTATGAAATAAAGAGCAATTATGATCTAAAGGGTATCAAAATTTACAAAAAAAAAAAAAAAAAAAAAAGCTTAATATTTATTTGTTTACTTTATTAAACATTTCTTTCAACGCGCGCATGCGTAAAGCATACATTACGCGTATAGTCGAAAGTAGAAAATTGCAACCAGAAAACTATTTGATTTGTATTCGTGATATTTATAATGACGAGGAATTTGATTTAAATCATATCAAAGACTGAGTACATCGAGATGAAATACTACATTTAGTAAGGAATTATAAGCCGAATAAAATAAAAACATCTGCCCTGAAGATAAGGATAGTGTTGACAGATCAACTTCCAGTTCATTGCGTGCCGCATCGTTTCCCCCCTCAACCCCCCATGCAGAGCAGCGTGAAATTTATAAACATATTTCGGAATGGTTAGAGAATCAAAGGATATGCCTTTATCCATTTTTTGCAGCAATTCCACTTTTTGTTTGATGGACTTTGAAACATGCTTTCGCTTTGTAGATCCTTTGGCAGCTCCAGAATCGGAAATTCTTTTTGACATAATCGAAAGTTAAAGCTTACTTTTATAAAATTGCTCTAACAGTCTGCAAAAAATAATAAGCCGGATTCAATTAGAAGATTAAGGAACAACACAATCTGCAACATTAACTGAAATAGATAATTAGATAATTTTAGCTTAGCGTATACCGTCCATTATACATTAAACATGCATGCGTATATGTATTATGCGCATGCATAAAGGTATTATGCGCATGCATTAATGCATTATGCGTTGATGCATGCACAGAAAGTTTGTAGCTTTCTGGATTATAGATAAAGAAAGGTCAGGATTATAGATCATTCCGAGTTATGGACGTCCGGATTAAAGACTTTTGACTGTACTCAATTTATATTAGGAGATAATATAATCAATATTTCTTTAGTAAATAAATTATATATACATACACACACACACGTGCATGTAAAATATCTATCTTTCAAAGAATAAATTAATAATAGCCTTTTAACTTCCATTTTCATTCTAATAATAAGTAATTTCTGGTTATAGATAAAGTACTTTCTGGATTATAGATAAAGAAAGGTCCGGATTATAGATCATTCCGAGTTATGGACGTCCGGATTAAAGACTTTTGACTGTACTCAATTTATATTAGGAGATAATATAATCAATATTTCTTTAGTAAATAAATTATATATACATACACACACACACGTGCATGTAAAATATCTATCTTTCAAAGAATAAATTAATAATAGCCTTTTAACTTCCATTTTCATTCTAATAATAAGTAATTTCATTCTAAAAATAACATAGCAATAATTTTTCTAACTAAACTAAACTCTGGTGCAACAACTCTAGTGGGTCACGGCCTGCAGTGCCCCGAAATCTACTTTCCTGACCTTGGATACCGGAGTGCATCAGCATATATGCCTTGGACAAGTGGTCAGCTTGTCTCAGGACCCCCAGTGTTTAGTCCCCAAGCGAACTTGGTACTAATTTTATCAACCCACTCAAAAGATGAAAGGCTGAGTCAACCTTGCCCAAACCGAGGATCGAACCCAGGACCAGCTGCAGCAGTGCGACACACTAGCCACTTTTTTCTAACTAAACTCCCTGCAGTTCTGATGCACACTTATCGATGAAATCTGAACCCAATATTTGGACATTAATCTGACATGTAATCTGAAATGGAATTCGGTATGAAAGGTCATAACTCCGCTTCTCTTCTCTTCGGCTTCATTTCGCTGCATTGCTTTGCCATTAGGCACGCAGAGTTTACTTTTCCAATTTTCATACATTGCTTAACCTGTTCAGTACGGGCGTGTCATATAAGGATCAGCAACAAACGTTATCTCACGGCCGGGTGTGTCGTATTTGAATTGCCATTTAGTTCTTCACTCTATAGTCAGGGTACCACATTTGACTTTTTAGATAGAACATTTAATTAGTATTTTTTATTGCCGCTAGATATAGCTGGATGTCTGTTACGGTGAAATATATGGAAAGTTTACGTTTTTCCTTCATTCCAATGCAATGTTTTTTATTTTTGGTATTTTGTTTCAGAATGAAAGCGAGATTTGTGGGTGGGTGTTGAGCAATGTAATGTCTCTTTAACTGCGTCATTTGATATAAACAAATGCACATGTACTCGCAGCACTGAGGTACTTTTTATTTTTGCAATATAGTGGGATAGATGTTCTATCATTAGAGATTTTTTTTATTACTCTTAGATTTTTCCTTTTTTTTTTTTTTTTTTTTTTTTTTTTTTTTTTTTATTACTCTCAGATTTTTTGGGCTTTGAGATGAATATTTTTTATCATCAGCGAAACGTATTTTTTTTTTTAATGTCAAACGAAAGAAGTATCTAAACGTAGAATATACACAAATGCTAATTCATTAGCACTGAGTAATGTAATGGCTCTCACTGTATCATTTTATATAAACAAATGGACGTTTTCGATGCTCTGGAATATTTTTAATTTAATTTATTAATTTTTCTTATTTTTTTTTTATCCATTATAGTGGAGTAGATGTTCTATCATTAGACTTTTTTTTTTACTCTGAGTTTTCCGGCATTGAGACGAATATTTTGTATCACTTAGCAAAAGGTCTTTTATTTTATTTTTTAAATGGCAAATCTAAAGCACTTATCTGACCGTAAACATATACAAATGCTAAATGAGTCAGATTTGCTGAGTAAAATAGCAGCAGATATTATATTCCTGTGACATATGCAACATTGGACTCTGCGTACACCCGTTTCAAAGAATATCATACACTGTCTCATTTTGAAATATTGCTTACTCTTCATTGTTTGCTTGTTGAATTTTTATGAAAGACAGTTTTAACATTTTTTAATTTGAATTATGCGTTGTGTTAAATAAAATCTGCGATTGTTTGGATATTTTTCCGTATATATATTTATTTGTGGGATAAGGGGAAAATTATATTATTTTAGAACGAGTATTTATGAAATGTTTAAGGAAACTATAATAATAAAGCTTTAAAATTAATTCTGACAACTACCTGAATATTCTTCTCATAATGTACCAAAAATTGGAACAATTGGATGAAAAATTTAATTTATGCAAATTTTTTTCCAGGCTTAGCAGCGTGAACTGCCCGTCCCCACAAGACGATGCATCCAGTTAATGCACCATCCCAAGACAACACTTCTGTAACAGAGATGCCAGTCGTGAACGGGTTAAGAAATGTAAGCCGTATAAAACTGTGGAGTGCACAGCACATCTTTAGTAATGATGCGCATTATCAATGAATAAAATTATGTTTTGAAATGGCCACGTCTGCAAGTTTTTTGGTTTATGCATACAACTTTCTAACTACCAACCCATTGCAACTTTCACCAAGTGATCTTATTACATATATATGCTTTGTTAAAGGATACAATATTACATATAAATATGGAAGGTGTATATGAAATAGAAAAGGTTGAGAACTACTGTTCTAGAATGGATGCCTAATGTCACATTTTAAAGGAGTGTACACAATACTAATTTATATTATATTTATAAGTGATAAATATCTATACACAAGGAAGTTGTGATCATTAAAATGAATATGATTCAAAGAACATTATAAATGCTCAATGTGTTTACTTCAGTACATGAATTAAATATGGATTATATTATTTACTGATGCTAAAGTAAATTTGTAAGCCCATTACTACTCATTAATTTATTAACAAATAAATCTGTAGCATTGGGCATGAGAGAAAATTATAGAAATAATCTTTAAATATATATAATGGCTATTTTATACATTTAAAATTAGAGTTACAAGAAACAAGAGCTTGATTATTTTAACTATGACATCTGATTACAAATAATACAAGTACAACTTACATGAAGCAGGTATAAATTCTTTCACAAGCTAACTATGATTAATAAATCATGGCAAGAATGGAAATGAAATTCCATGAAATCTAAACATTTTAATGGAAATAGCTGATATTCACATTGTACACCAGCAAAAGTACAAAAAACCCACACAGCCAGGTAGCCCATTCGATCACTAGGAACAGGATATAGGATGATCAGTATTCTATAACTTAGTCACTCAGGACTTGTCAGCCTACCTAGCTATAACATACAAGAAACAGAAGTATTCAAATGTATTGGGAACACTAATTTAAGCTGAATACTGATGAAAAATTCCCAAAGACTAATCATAACATGCATCTAACACAAAATTCATGTATTTACTTTTCTTTGCTTCGCGCTCCACACATACTAGTTCAGATCATTGTTACTAACATTTAAAAAAAAAAAAAAAAAAAAAAAAATCTAAAACTGCTAACTATCAGGATCACTCCCTCACTTTTTTTTTTTCAAGATTTCTCATTGCTATTAGCTTTCCAGATATCATTTCTTTAATTTTGCAATAACTGCATAATGGAAAAATTATAGTACATTTTCATGTTCCCGCTTTAAAACACTTCAGTGGGCATTCTGTTTCCTTTACTTTTTTTACAGGAAATATATATATATATGTGCATGTAACAGCTACAACACCTGATGACTCTTCAATTTTGATAACATTTGTCACCTTGGGAAAAAAATTATAGAAACTATCTTCAACAATGAATTGTAGATGCTGATCAGTCAATCTGGTTCTTTTTTTATTAATTTTCAATTGCAGAAAAAATACTGCTTGCATATAAATGTACTCCAAAAAAAATGGCTGAACAAACCCGAACAAAAGTTAATTAAATATCTTCAAACCTTTGAACAAGATTTACATTCCCTGGTACACTAATTATCTCCATTCATATATTTTCTGCAGCATTACTGATTTTTGTTTTCAAAGGCAATGAAAATAATGTAAAATTTGACTCCAAATCATTAAAATCTTACTTTTTTTTCTTTCAATTTCTCTTCATAATTATGTCAATTAATTAACCAGAAATGTATTTGCAGGTCATGTAAAATTGCTTCGAGACTTTTTTAACAGTTTTATTTTTCCTAAGAGGTACTAAGATTTCACACACACATACATACATAAATCTTTTGATAAGACAATGGCGTGATTTTTCACAAAAAATAAAATATAAAGCAGATGAGAGGACAACTTACTTCTGTTTTCCTGTACACACTGGATGCTTGTGTATGCTGTTCCTTACCTATATCCTCTTCAGAGAAGGCATCAGCAGTCGGATATATGTTATCATATAAGGCAGAGATTTCATCACCCATAACATATTTTGAACTTATTGTTTTGGAAGACATAGTATTTGAACTTGTTTGAAAAGATACAGTTTTTTCTAATTGAGTAAAGTGTTCAGGATCATGCTTGTTTGAAATATTTGATGAGAGCTTTTTGAATTCAGACAGTTTTTGAATGAGAGACACGGCATTTGAGCTAGTAAAGTAATTTTGATTATCTTCTGTTTCTGATGAAAGTGGAAGCAAATTAGTAGCTTTCAAGGGATTAATATTTTCATCGAGTCCATACATTACTCCCAATTTTGATGGTAACATATTATCTTCAGCCATGATATTATAAAACCTTTCAATTTACTTCAGACATATCAAAGCATTCAACTTTAGGATTTTTAAATGCAGAACAAAAGGATTAAACTTGCTTAAAGCAGCTCTCTTAACTATACTTCGAAAATAAATAACTCCAGTCGGCAGGCAATCTGGACTTGAGTAAGCTAAAATGAAATAGACAACTTTATAAAAACTCAAGGCAGATTTTCATTAAAGAAAGCATGTTAATTTGCATTAATCATTCTTCAGACCTGGAAAGATTACCTTTATTTAAGTTATTAGAATAAAAATACATTGCCAGCCAAAGTTCTTATTTATACTATTAGATTTTCTTTCATAGGGAATGGCATAAAAGAGTGATTTCATGGGAAATAACATTTTTCCACACTATATGCACAAAAATACAAATATATCAAAACTAAAACTTTTGCTACAAACATAAAAAAGAACCTTACTGAAATTAATAGAAATGGTTTTACATTATTATTGCTTTTTCATGCCTTGCATACATACACTAGTAAACATGTTAAAACTTATTTCTAGTAATAAACTGTACTCTTGCAAGCATGACCAATTTTTTTTCAAAGGATATATATTCAACTATGATCAGAGATAAGATTTTATAACTATTTATTGCCAATTCAAATCCTAACCTACAGAGGTTATACAAAATTAATAATTTAATTTTTATATTTTATTCCTTTTAAAGAGGTGATATATAGAAATGTTTATTTGCTTCTCTTTAGTGTTTCTCCTCCTCCTATACAGTATGTTTAAAATAACACTATTAAACTTTCATTTAGTGCTTTATTTTCCAGGAATGCATCTCAGCATTGGATATTAATATCATAATCAAAAAATTAGGTTCCTGAATAAAAAAGCTTTCAAAAAAAGCAAGAAAAAATTATATGCCAAGATTGATATAAAGATTTAATCTGCTCACACATTAGTCAATTTTAGTTGAACTTCACAGCTTATTTTACAAAATGAATAGACAACATATTAAAGTCAACTATACAAAGCATGCATTTTTATGTAAAAGATATAAAAATATAGAACAAGATGTTAATTTATTATAATGTGAAAACATTAGCATTAATAATGAAAATGAATTTTATTTAATATTAGTTTAATACCAAATGTCCGAGAATAGGATTAATTTAAATAGTTTTATTAGAGCAAATATTTTAGTCAATTATCTCTACATTACTCACCAGTTTTGCTTTTTCATAATCTTTTACATTTCTACTATGAGAAAGTTGATGTACAGGAGCTTCCCAAAGTGCTAATGGCATCCGTGCATTATAAGAGAAACACAGGCAATAAACAACTCAATTGCAATTCACTCCATTAACGCTACACCTGTTAAAAAAGTTCAAATCATTAATTTGAAAAAATTAAAAACAACACTCCGATAAAATCATGACTGATTCATATAAAAAAAGCCTCCCTATTTTTAAACATCTGCAAGAAGCAAGGCTAAAATTTTAATGTTGGTGATGAGTAGAAATAATACCTCTTGCTAATATAAAACTAGATTCTTGCTATAAATTTTTAAAGAAGGGAACATGCGATACATAAATTTATGCTAGAATATTCTCAAAAATAAATGATGCAGTCAGATTTTTCTACCTTTCACTCATGGGTATAATGAATAATACAGGTGGCAAAGAAAGCTAACATTCTTTACAGTGATGATGCTAAGTTTAAAAAAAAAATAGTGAAATGGGATTATGTATAGCAAGCAATGCAGTGATCATCTGAAAACTGCAACAAACAGCCACTGCAGTATTAGCTACTTTAAAAAAAAAAAAAAAAAAAAAAAGGCCTCACTGCAGTATGCATTGGGTAACCTCGGGAATGGGTACCATTTTTAAAAATCTTATTGCATCCATATAAAATTCAAAAGTTTGAAGATGATCCCAAAAGGCTGGCCTATTTCACAAGACCAACTCCACAACATATCTAATTGAATCCAATGTTCTCACAAAAGATTCTCACTCACAAGGCAATTTCATTCATGAATGTCAGTTCATGAAGTTAAACAAACACACAGATGTCAGTATGATTTAAATCCACCATTATTAAATTCCAATATTTCCAAGAAATTTCTAGCTTAAATTCATATATCACATTCCTTCTTTCCCATTCTAAAATCTCAAAGCATATTCAGATGTTTTCTTTAAAGATGACTTTATATCTGCCAGTGGTTACAATATACCATCATTCAACATTATTTTTGACATTTGCCTATGTTTACAAAATACAGAGGCATTTCTATATTTTATGAATTGAATGCAGAAGTCTGCTGAAAAGTAAATAAAATTTATTATTATCACAACAAATCAAACAAAATGGTTAAAGTTGCACAGATATTCACACAATATCCCAATATCTCACAGTAGTTAACTTTTAAACTACTAAAACATTTAGAAGAGCTAATTCAAAATAGAGAAAGATAATCACATTTCGCTGCAAATTCGCTACGGTAAACAGCAATTTTCTAAACTCATACTATTTCAAAACTCATAAAACAACTACCAAATTGAGTGGGTTTTTTTTTTTTTTTTTTTTTTTCTTTCTTTCTTTTTATAAGCATTTTAAATCACGCACGAGCATGTTCTGGTATGTTTCCAAAAAGCAAAAGCATACAATTATGAGATAGCTATTTATTAAATGTGCATGATTCTGTATTTTTAATTTTTCCAGCGTAGCTTTCTCTTCAAATAAGTCACGTGCATCATTGCAAGGGGAAATGAAATAATTTAATAACTATTCTATTAAAAATAGCAAACTAAATAAATCAATACAAAAAATGTAACAATAATTAAACATAAAATTATAACAAATTATGTAACAGATATTAGTTTAAGATAGATATTTTCACTGAAAATTTTTTCAAATGGAATAAGGTTCGGAAATACATTATGCTCCCAAATCCAGGAAAATTACAATGTAATCAAATCAATCCACTTAGTTGAAAGTGAAATCCTAAACTGTTTTTTAGTGATTTTATTCAAAACTTTCCTAAAAACTTTAACCGTGATAATCTTGAATTGCATAAAATATTAAACAACAAAAATTTAATTATTTAATAAATGTACAGATTAAAAATTTGGTAATTTAAATGCTGCAAAATTTCAGTGACAGCAATAACTAGCTTAAGAAATGCAGTTTCAGAACATACACTCTGTCACCAAAAAAATATATGCAACCATAAGGAAACGAACTACAGTACAAAATCCGGACTCGTCGGGACTTCGGTGGTTACGGATTAGGGGTTTTTCCGGATAATAGATCATCAATTTAAATCTGGTAAGATGGCATGCAGAAATTATACAATTAAAAATATGGAACTGTAATTTATGAAATAAAGAGCAATTATGATCTAAAGGGTATCAAAATTTATATTAAAAAAAAAAAAAAAAGAAGAAGAAGAAGAAGAAGCTTAATATTTATTTGTTTACTTTATACAACTAACATTTCTTTCAATGCGAGTTGTTTAAGTTGCTTCGTTTTTTGTGCTAATACTTTCTCTAATTCTATAAACAGATATAATTTCTTGTTCAAATACAAAGTTCCACTGTTCAAGTCCTGTAATTGCTGTGTCAAGAATACTGACTAACTTGTCAATCGAAAATTTTTCGTTTTCAATAACCTTTCTGTCACTTTCATCACTATCGGAAGCGGCGCATGCATATCGGAAGAGCGCATTAAACGCGCATACGTAAAGCATGCAAAAAAAAAGTTTGCGGCTTTGAGGTTCGGATAATGGACGTCCGAATTACGGACTTTGCACTGTATTTAATTTTACCTACGCAAGGAAATCCAAAAACATATATCATTAGAACTCTCCTTTCTAAGACGGATTCATATTTTTGTCTTTACACGATGTTATTTATTTTGGTTTTTCTGTTTATTTTTTGATTCGCTGAAATTTTAAAATATTTTTTTTTACTTGCTTTGCCTATTTGACTCACTTCGGACAATATGTTTTTATGATAAATAGTACAATATTTCATGAAATTTGAATTTTGGAATTTTGTATTCTTATTCTGAGTGACAGTTCTGTGCGAGTTCACAAGGAATGGGCTTAGAGAACAGAGTTCAGATTTTTGTTTGTGTTTTTTATCTGCATAGTTAGACTGGATAAGAAACAGAAGCACAACGGAAAAGCATACAAGTGCTTAAAATTTCCAAACGAACAAAATCTGAAGGGTGTAAAATTAAATATATTTAAGAAACCTCTTTAATTACATAGTTTTTATGAGACACATTAAAAAATAAAGAATAAAAATTTCAATTGCATGCCTCAGTTTAAAAAGTCCCAATTAGATAGCTACGCACATGCAGCCAGCCCGTTTGCCTGGAATCGGACTCAGGTCAGAACTACCAGTATTCAGTGATTTTACCGCTTGGCTGCCGGTGGGCTTTTTACAGAATTGAAATGAAATTGTAGCAATGTAGAAAGCCTTTCACACTGATCAAAAGCTGCTAGCACAAAATATGGATTTGGTCCAAATCTCGGAGAAATATATTGAAATTTGTTGCTCCCATATAAGGAAAAATATGAAGAGAAATGAAAACAAAAGAAAAACACACATGCAGTTTTATCTAAAATATCTTCCTCAAATTCTCCAAAATCCTTCCCTCTAGGTATGTAACCTCAGTGCGGTTTGCTATAGATATATATAGGTATGAAAAATATTATTTTAACAATGATTTTACCGGAAACAAAAGAAACAATTGTAAAATTTCATAATAATATTCACATACACATCTCAAGTAACAATTACATTTAATAGCTGATTAGCAGTTGACAAAGCCATTTATAATGATGTGAATCACTTATACCCCAATTATTGTTACAATTTTGTACTGTAATAATCCCAGGAATTTCCATTAAAACAAGTTAAAAAAAAAAAAAAAACTATTTCTCATTTTATGCAGTATATGTTTATATAAAGATTTAAGAGCAACCTTTTTTAAAGCAATTTAATTCTGAAAATATCTTTCTGTTCAAATGTGTGTTTCTAAAATTTACAATGATAACAAAAATAAGATTTTTATGATGAAATTTTTGGAAATGGTTTTAACTTTGAAATAGAATATCAAAACTAAATTCTGGACAATTCAATGCATTAAATTATACAAAATTCTTAGATCTACATTTAGTTACACATTATTCTTGATCTAATTTTTCTTTTAAGTTAAAAGCATTATTAAGTTAAAAGCACTTAAAGGTTTTAAACAGAAAATGAAAAGATTCATATTTTTTAATTTATCTGTTGTTGATAGATATTAATTTATTAAAGTATGCTGTCAAGTAATAAACAGTTTTTCAGCATATGATTTATTATCATTATATAAGTTTTTCAGCATATGATTTATTATCATTAAACAAATACATAATATACAAGAAAATTTTTAATGAATAGAAATCATTCAAAACTTTAAATAATCATATAACAACTTTTGTACTAAGCTTTCCTCTTTAAACTATCTTTTATCACTGCATGTGCCGTATTTATAGTGGTGTATTTATAGGAACTAATAGTGTTCAGCAACTTTACCACTTGGCTGCTGGTGGGCTTCTTTAGTACACGTTAAGAGATACTTGTCTTATAAATACATTATAAATAACATCCTCTTAGTTTTGGTGTGAAGAAACATTTTCGAAAGTTGGATATATTTCAAATAGATTTTGTTATAGAGTCAGTGTCGTTTGAAGACATAGATGTTCATTTCATTTAGGAAGTATTACATTGATTAGAATAGAGAATGAAGTAATTATGGATGAAATGATCAAAATTTATAATTTATTAAAACTCATGCTAAAGTAATATGTTTTATTTAACATATTAATTACATATGTTTTTATTTGCATAATGCAAAAAGCACAGAAGTTTTTAAACAACTTATTTTTTATGGCTGTATCCTTTTCTTCGGTCCTAATCATTAGCTAAGTCATCCCTGCTGCTATTCAATACAGATGAGTAACAAAGAGAAAAACAATGCAAAATTATAAAATGATGTCCTTTGTATTTCGTGTTTTAAGAATAAGTACAATTTTTACACAGATTTTATGAAATAAGTTAATGAGAAGATTTATTATTTTTCTAAGATAACTGTAATTGCTTCCAAATAGGACAAATGAAAATGTAAAGCAAAACAAATTCTAAATACATTTTGAAAAAAATGCTTACACATTTTAAAATCTGGCTCTGTTATATGGACAACATGGCAGTCTGTCATAATAGTGGTGTACAGCATAAAAGGGAAGAGAGACACTAATACTCCCCAGTTAACGAGGGTTATTTAAGTGAGGGGGAAGGGAACAAAACAGAGAAGAA